AGAATTAAAACAGACAAGCAGCTGCCACATAACACCCCAGATTTAACAACTGTTGATAAGAAAGACAAAAAAGGCTGGATGGTGGACATTGCAATACCTGGAGACAGCAGAATAGAAGAGAAACAACTGGAATATAAAGACCTGTAAATAGAAGTAGAATGACTATGGCAAAAGAAAGCAAAGATAGGACCAATAGTAATAGATGCCTTGGGTGCAATCCCAAAGCATGTGGAACACCACTTGAAGACCATCGGCACTGACAAAATCATCATCCGTCAATTGCAAAAGGCAGGTTTACTCGGAACGGCTTACATCCTGCGACGATACTTTTTACACCATCAAGCTACACCACCTGCCTATCCCAGGCCCTTGGGAAAGACTCCATAGGTGGATAAAAATGCCAAATCCAGTCTAAACATCTGGCTGACTATGTGACTAAGAATAATAATTTTTGTTGCAGGGGATGTGAGATTTCCTGTAGAACTCAACCTAGCAGCAGGAGAATGATGGACTGGTCCAAAATGGCTCCATTGCTCAATGGAGCAGTGCGGCAAGGAAGCTACTTCCATGCTATGATGATGATATATGAATTGTGAGCATGGCATCACACAGTTGGAATCCGTATTAGATCAGGCTGCATATGAGTTCACACACATTTGTTTATCATTTGACAAGTGTAGCATCCAGCAATGCAGGGGAAATATATTCTTACTATAAAAAGGGTCCCAGGTTGAGCTTGTTATACCACTAGGTATAGTGGTGATAGACTTCTCTTTGCTATCTGGATAGTAGACTATGCTAAACTAGACAAAGCAACTGCCTGGTTTCCTATGTATAAAATAGCTACCGGAGACCAAAGAATTTTCTTATTACCTTGCTGGATCTGAAATGCTTCTCAATGTAAGCAATCCACGCATTCACATACAAGTTACTAAATTATGTTTTATTGAATGATATATGAGCTTGGATCTATCTACTTGACATAATTATCTGGGGGAAAACTTAATGATATCATGATACATGATGCAATTTTGTCATTTGCATAATGACATCATGATGTGTCACTTCTCACCAGTGCAGATGTCCATGCTACTTGAACTCCAGTTCCTCTTATTGCCACAATTCTAACCTTTTTCCATAATAGAGCTAAACTAACTATGATATTAATTGCATTAATGTAACTAATGTAGTTAAATTTTCCTTTCCCTGTTATGGCCCTGACAAAAGAAACAAGGAAATCAGTCAACTCCTTTTCTGAAAACACATTGCATTTCAAGAGCAGCCTCTATTGATGCTAATAGAGGTAATTTCCTCCCAATGTTAAGCAGCAACTCTTGAAGGAAGTTTGATGTTTATGTTTTGCTTGGGATGTATACAGGAAGAAAACTCTCTCCCTAACCTGAACTTTGATCCTGTTATTTACATAACAAACAAAAGTAAAACACAACCAATCCCACAATATGTGCACCTTCCTGCAATTAAAGTAAAGTCTAGCTTCAGACAATTCTTATTGATGAATCTGAAATCTATCTGTGGCACTCCAGATGTGGCTGAATTACAGTTTCCAGCAACTTCATCCAATCTGACCAGTGATAAGAGATGAAGGAAGTTGTGATGCAGCAATACATGGACTGCTACAGTTTGTTTTCTCCTGGCCTCACTAGGCGGAAAAAGCTGAAGCTGATGTCCCAACTGCCAGATGGGTTGGGACTAAATTTCCCAGAATTCTCATCTGCAGAAGGGAGATGGAGGCAGGATTAAATATTCAATCAAATGACATGTAAAACTGCACACATGGGGACATGACATAATCTAACATCTGTATATCTCTCTCTCTCTGAGAGCTTAAGGGAAGGTGGATTGTATATCATTCTCAAGACCTGGATAGCTCCCAAAGTTAATGCACTGTATATACTCATCTAAAATGCAATGGTCCATGAGTACAATTCCTGGTAGAGGGTTTGAATCCCATAAAAAGATCTGGATACAAATGTCTGATGATCCCAATTCAGGACAAAACTGCTCATGTACTGCTTCCTGGTAGTCTACATAAGTCAAATAACTAGCTACCCAATATCTGAGTAACACAAATTTCAACAGAATATAGCAGGGGCATCTTCCTCAACACATGGGAAAGATACAAGGTTGGGGGAGACTGGGCTGCAATAAGGCATTAGCAATCAAGAAACATCTAGACCAGGTTAATGCTTGACTGCTGCCTTATGCTGTGAATTTTTCACAGATGAGGAGAGTGTTACTATGCACTATTGGACCCCAAGGACTGCTATCTGTTTCATATGCCAGTGGATAGATCTTTTATGTCCAAAAGTGCCTTAATGACAAGCTGAATACAAGAAAGTGTATTCATTGTAAATAGCTTTCCCAATATGACTCAGCAAGAGTGAAGGAAGAAAATGCCCATAATGAGAAGGTAGTTGTCTTTCATTCTCAGCCATTCCTGTTTGTATCAGGTCTTGATTAATGCATTAATCAGAAACAACTAAGAGGTTTTATGAAACATGACTTTATTATGAACATTTAATCACTGCTGAAGAAAAACAGGCTAACATAAAGGAGTTCTAGATGGCCTTGTATAGTTATACAGCCGTGTTTCAATAGGGGAGGGAGAACCCAAAACAGGTTTCATGAGTCAGTGATGGTGAGTTAAAAAAAATCCAAAAAATTGCATTAAAACTTTCTTATTTCCATCTAATTTAATCCATGGTTCTGGTTGCCTGAATCCAATGGATTGCTACCATGAACCCAACAATGCAATATAGTTTGTACCAGGCTTGCATAACCCAAGAGCCATCAAGCTAAAATCAGTCCACTATTAGCCAAATCCCTGCCTGCTCGAGCCTTCCAAAATCAGGGATTGTCAAAACCTGGTAGGCTATAATATTTGGCTACTGAGCTGGTAGTATTTATAATGCTAAGTACTTTATTGGATACCTGATGTTGCAGCTGAGTGGCAAGCCTGTGAAATCACAGCGCTTAAACAGTCAAATACATTCCATGTTGTTATTTCTAGCGCTGTCCTCTTATTTGCATTTATTGATGACATCAACAGCCATTTTATCCATATCATGGATGGAAGCCAAGATAGGCAAGGAAGTTAAATGGATGGTTCTTTCACAACCAGTCATTTTGCTAGAATTGCAATGTAGCTGCAAGCTGGATGCTTCAGGGGATGACAGTTGGACTTCCTCCTACTGCAGTGTCCTTGCAAACTAAATATCCCAAAGATACCACCTGAATCTCACCTGCGAACATATTGCATGTACAATGGAGTTAGGATGAAGCCTCACACCACTATTTTATGCTGTGGCCACTGATGTTGCAAGCAGGCCAACTGGCTGGTTAACTGGCAAGCTTTTGCCACTATTTTCTGATTTTTCTTTTTTTAAAGCAGCAGAGTGCTAGAGACGATGGCCAGGAGAAGAAAGAATAGCCCTGGATGTGATAGAGATACCTGTAGAATTTGCTACTACAAAATGTAGCAGTAGTGGACATGAATTTGGGTGTCTTTAAATGCAGATAGAACAAATTCAGGGCTGACTGTCAAGGGATGCTAGTTATGATTGATGGATTGATTATGTGCCATCAAGTTGATGTTGACTCTTAGCAACCATATAGATTTTCCCCAGGAGCTAGTTATTATAGCTATATGGATAAATATTCACAATTATTCCAGTGTCAGATTGCATGCTTCTAAGTACCAGTTGCTGTAGTACGTGAACAGAAAGTTTTTATCGTCACAACATGCTGATGAGTTTCTTACAAGCTCACATTGGTCTCTCTGGGAGCAGAGAATGCGGGATGAAACAACCCGATCCAACTTGGCTATGTATCAATTTTGACTGTGTGTGTGTCTAATTTGATCTTTCCTTTGTTACTTTTCAGAAAGACAACGCATTCTTTCAAATATTTAGTTTGTTTTCTAAAATACCCTTCAGACTCCTTGGATAATCCCTTTTTTCTCAGTATTATCCAAACAAGCTTACCTCAAGTGCAGCTCCAGCTGTGAGTAAAGGAAATGAATGAAAGCTCTCCTAGCCACAATTTCTGCATGACAATCATTGACCACGAGTCCTTGGTCATTAAGGTATTCTCCATTTAGGCATTTGGTGCCTGAAGAGAGCACAATAACCTGAGCCTGCTGAATGTCCATACCTGTGGGAAAAAAAACAGCACACACAATCAAAAGCTCATAATGGCTTGAGATCATGCTTTCGTGCAGCACCAGAGACAGCTCTAAGAGGGTGATTACTTGGCTTTGGGGATAAGTAGCAATCCTGAGTCTCAGCACCAGTGGAATAATGTATGGTCTGTTTCAATATCAACCACTAATTCCCACATCAAAGTCATCCAGAAAGTTTACTTGTTAAATCATTAACAAGAGATGATATATCCTGTAAGGAGATAATAAAAGAAGCTCCTGCAGCACTGATGAACAATAACCTTCCAGGGAGCTTTCTTGTTGTCGTTGCTGCTGTTCCTTTTTTTATGATAGAAACATACACTCCCTATAATGTAAGTTTTCATTTCCTTGGCACTGGAACGGCTAATAAAAAGTGAGTTTTAGAGTGTCTTTTCTTTAGAAATCATACATCCCAGTGCACAAATCCCTATTGCAACACTGCTCAATTACTAACTCTGAATATGCATTTCTTTATAACATGGGAATAATATCAGGGCTGTGCCTCCCTGCCTTGCAATATGGCTGAAGACCTGGATATCCTTGAGAATGGCCACCCCAAGTGGAATTTGCCAGTCCAGGGAGATGTGAGAGGGTGTGTTTCCTCCATAGTCACCTCTCCCCTTTGGAACAGTGCACCCCAGAGATAAGGTGCTTCTACTCTTGCTGGTGTTATAGAAGGTGATTAGGTCCAGGATGTCTTGGAGGGCCTTTTGGGATGACATGAATTTTGTTTTTCCTGAAGAAGCAGAGCCAGGTGTTTGTTTGGATTATTACATTATTATTATGGTTTGTTGTTATATTATGAATTTTAACTTTATATCTGCATCTGGTCATAGGGATGTTAAAAACACGAGGATGAAGTGAGTTTTAGGTCCTGTTCTGTAGAAGACCAAGGTTTGGTAGCTAGGAGAACTGAGCAAAAACCTGTTACTCAAGTTTTTCAAAGTTGTCAGGTTGATTTTCTAGGAACCAATGATTTACTGGTTGTCTGAACTTCTTCACTCCAAAGAAACATGGTAGGTAGTGGGAAACTGTAAGCCATTACTACAACTGGGTGAGAGATCTCAAGAAAGTGATGAGAACTATTCAGGAGGGCAGAACTGGTCTCTTTTACCACTTATGATGTATTGCTGACCAAGTTGAGTATTGACACATAATACTGCAGAATCTCATGTTACATTAACTGTTGTGAAACTGTAGTACAATAGATTATTAATGAGTAGATGGAGGTACTAATTACCACTTACCCTTATCATAAAGGCTTCCAGGTCTGGACTGTGAAAATCCAGATGACTATGATGGCAGAGTTTGAGTTTTCTATATCTCCTTACTGCCTTCTTATGGTTGTCTGAATTTTTGTAGTTTACATGATGGTAGCCTTATCTATCACCATACATTTGAAGGAACAATGCATCTTGTAAAGCATTTACAAGTAGATTATGGTTCTACTTGTGTGAGAGCAAAGTATGAACTGAGAAGGCATTGGCAGAATATAAAAGGGTAGATTCACTGCAGACATTAGACTTCATTTTTTAAACCCTGATTAACAAGTTGAAAGTTATATGTTTGAAATCACACCTTGAGGTGAGTTTGCATGAAAAGTGTTCATTTTTAGAGCTGCATTATAATTACAGCTGACATAAAGAGAAATGCTATGGTATCTACTATACATGTGGGCTATGGGCATCCCCGGATTTCAGGCTCTTTTTGAGGTCCCATATGGTGGAATACGACTAATAGGCCAAGGTTCAAAGTCACAGCTAGGGAAGCTCACTAGATGACTGGCCTCAAGCCCCTCTCTTAGATCAACGTACTTCTCTGAGTTGTTTTTGTGAGGATAAAATTTGAGGAGATATATATATA